AACCCCTGAGACCGACTCATCGAACCCCTGGGGTTCATCGAACCCAGGTTAAGAACCACTGGTCTAGAATATTACATTTCACTGATTTATCACCAAACATCTTTTTGTTTGTTTGTGAGGAAGAAGTGCAGCATCTTTCTTTCAGCCAGCTAACTGGCAGTGTGCAGCATCAGCTGCATCAGTCTGTGTCCGATCAATTAGACTAAAATATTATTAAAGTGAATTTCTGTTTTGTCTGAGGAAACTGGACTGTTCTGTTGGTGCAGAGATGATTATTAGTTATTATTAATAATAATTAATACAGCTAATGCTGCAGCAAACACCGAAACATCCAGCATCCATTCTCCAGCACACTTGGAGCTGAGCCGAGGGATTGATGACAGACATCACTGAATAACTATTAATAAATAGAGTTTCATATGTTTTGTTGTTTTTACATATGAAGGTTCCGGTGGGAACCTTTGTATTTGCTGGTTTCTGGTACACCTGTAAATCTGACACACAACTGGCATCCACTAACAACAACAATAGAGAACAAAAAAATACTTTTATTTTGAATAGGTTCAAAATTGTAATGCAATTAATAACTTTTTTTTACAGTTCCAAGGCGGAACCTTTGTATTCTGTGTTTCTAGTCCAGCCGTAAATCTGACGCACAGCTACATCCGCCAACAGAAGCAATGAAGCTGCTTTTCTCGGTTTATTTCTACTTCTATGCGTCTGATCAGACGCTGGGAAACATTGTTATGTGTTCAATTTGTGCTAAAAGGAGCTAGCCTATCGGAAGCTATGCTAGACTAAAGTAGCATCTCAATGCTAACATGTTGCTAATACTAATCTACATGTCTAAAGAAGCTCCATGTGAAGGATCTGAACCTCCTGAAACTCTGGAAAGATGATTTTAACGGATTATAAACTAAATATCTTCGTCATTGAGCTCTTGTGTCTATTTATTTAATAATAAATGCTGTTTTAATTAAAAATGTTGCTTATTTTGGAGATTAAAATCTGATTAATTTCCTGAAATGAATTAGATTTTTATAAATATTCATTAGTTTTATAATCATTGCCTCTTCACCATCTGTCTCTGGGCTCCATGTCTGAAATATGAGAAAAATGATCAATTTCTTTAAAAACATAAAACCAAAAACAGTTAATCATAGATTTAATGAAGCTTTTAACAACATCTGTCAGAAACATTTTAGCTTTACAGATTTGTTGCTACAGAAGCCAGAAATGAACACAGAACATGTTCAACTGTACAATCCTGAGTGAAGAAACTGGTGTTGCTTCAGGTCCAATTCTACATCAGAGCGTCAAGATGTTTTTAAATATGAAGGCCAAACATCTTCACAACATTTCTCCAGACAGCAAACATCACTTCCAGCCGAGTCGTGAAAAACTGTCCTTCATGTTCAGGAAGCATCAACAGTTCGTGATGATGATGATGATGATATGTCTTCATCATCCGGTCACAGCTTAAACATCTCTACATGCTTCACGTCTGTCCCACCAGCAGAAAGCTGCTCATCTAGCCACTGCAGCTCTACGTCAGGCAGCAGGTCAATGTTTTAATACTTTATGGAAAGCCATTTAACATTTAATAATAGTTAAAACTATGCTGTGTTGAGTAAACTATAAGTTCACAAGTTATTAAAATATAAGACTTTATATTCATTATAGGAAGTTATACTGGAACATTTCCTCCGATTTTCCTCTCCACTGTCGCCATATGCTTGGATTCCTCAGGTAGAAAAACCATCAGCTGGAACAATAAACTGAACTGTCCTGCATGTTAAATCACCTGATCTGACTGGACTGAAATGATGACATATTTCTGGTTTTTATTATATTCCGGCTTCGTTCTTCCATATTTATCTAATTATTTAAAGATTTAGATTACAAATGACATTTAAAACCTAAGCAGAAGCTGCAGTGATTTAGTTACTGTGAGAAAGTATTCACCCCAACCTGACGCCTGGTTGTTCCTCCTGCTGCTGCAGCACTACTGAGGGTGAACTTTGACCCCACCTGCTTCACTGAATTGATTTAATTCAGACACACTGGAGGGTTTTCCAGCAGGAACCAGTCAGGTTTATGATTGATTGACGGTTAATCCCGTCGGATTCAGGATTTATCTAGGGGTGTGATTACTTTTCCACATAGCGACGGGCTGGAGAAGAAAATTTCTCTCTGCATTTACTCATCTTCTGCTAACCAGAAGAAACCTGGGCGTGGGGAACACCGTATACGGAGAAACTTTGAGCAGTCTCTTAATTCTTCGCCGGTGATGAAGACTTCCTGTGGTCTTTCTCATGGTTGCTTTGTCTGCCTGGTCCGGTCCGGTCCCGGATCATAAGCACTTTATTTGTCTTCATAACATCTCCAGAACATTGCTGAACTCTGGTGGCCACACCTCTGCTAATATGCTAATTTGCTTAGCGTTTTAGCTAATGTTTAGCATTATCATTGCCACTTGGTATCAACATGGTTGAATTTAGCAGTTTAGCATAAGTTTCTGCTAAACTCTGTGTTGATATAGCACATTAGCATTAGCTTCTGCTAAACTCTGTGTTTGATATAGAGCATTAGCATTAGCTTCAGCTAAACTGGGTTGATAAAGCAAGTTAGCATTAGCTTCTGCTAAACTCTGTGTTGATATAGCACGTTAGCATTAGCTTAAGCTAAACTGGGTTGATAAAGCAAGTTAGCATTAGCTTCTGCTAAACTTTGTGTTGATATAGAGTGTTAACTTCTGCTAAACTCTGTGTTGATATAGCACATTAGCATTAGCTTCTGCTAAACTCTGTGTTGATATAGAGCATTAGCTTCTGCTAAACTCTGTGTTGATGTAGCACGTTAGCATTATTATCTAGAAGGTAAAGCATGAGTCTGGAGTGTTATCCGACATGTCGAGCCTCCAGTGAAGTTCTCCACAGTCCATGAAGTTGATGTTGCCATTGTGGACGGAGTCAGAGGAATAAAACAAACACTTTCCACCAGAAGACTGTAGTTTCCCTTAGCTGCTGCTCATGCTAACCTGACACACACCATGTTTACTACACATGTGCAGTAAAGCTGTTAGGCAAACACTGCAGCAATAAGCCAGTGATAATTTTAGTTAGAATGATGCATCACTCACCTCAGCTTGCTGGATGCTTTAAACTAAAAGTGAAACTGGTAGCAGGTCCTGGCTAATATTCACCTGACCACTTGGGGGCGCTCACAGAGTATTGTTATTTTATTCAGTGACTTTCTCAATATGTCATAAAAACAAAACAAGACTGTGATTTTTTTATCAGATATCCCGTCCTGACACAGCACAACCTGGTGGCCATTTTTAACGAAACCCAGGGACCCAAACCTCTGGTTCTGGTCGGGTTAAATGAAGATCAGTGGGCAGGAACAACAGACCTGAAATGGTTTTGCATTTTCTTATATTTATGATCAGCAGTGGGCACACTTATGCTAACCTGCTAATGCACTAATAGTTAATTTTTTGTACAGTGCTTTAGCTTTTTTGCTAACTTTGAAAGGGCTTAGCTTCCTCTAAATATTTTTTTTCATATAAAATCTATAGACCTGATTTACTTGAATAAAGTTTGACATTTGAGTTGAAGTTTTGGTTGTCGGCTCTTCTGAATTCTTCTGGTAGGTTAGATGCTTATACTCATGCTCTTATTTTGAAAGCTGCAGCCCAGTTTCCTCTCCTCACATTTTCTTTTTATTTTAAAGAAACTTTACTGAGCAAGAAGGCAGTGTCATTGACACATGGTGGATGCGGTTAGGGTTGAATTTAGTGCTTAGCATTAGTTTCCACCAACTATCATGTTGGTGTAGCGTTAGCATAACTAACGTTTATGGTTAGTGTTTTAGGGTTAGCGCTGCTAACCTTTTAGCTAGCGGTGTCCACCACTAAGGTTTGCTTTTGTCAGCGTTAATAAGCTGGGTGTTGCTGTGTGGCGTTGTAGGGGCGTGGCCTTAATGGTTGACACAGTAATGGCGTGGGTTAGAGGTCGGAAGAGGTGAACTGACTGAACGCAGCAGTGCATCAACAATATTCCATAAAACATCCAAACATTTTATCAGACATAAATCAGATCCTCAGTCCATGTCCGGCTCCGCATCGCCACCTTCTGGACAAACATCAGGATATTAATGCAGAACATTACTATAATGTTCTGGCTCCAGAGGAGTTTGGGTCATGTGACCAGGTAAGGTCTCTGCTGATTGGACAGAACACAGGCGGATTTAAAATCCCTCCTGCTGAGTCGAGCAGGGAGGATCATGGGAAATATTTCGGCCTCATCAGAGAGCTGAGCAGGTCGGATCAGGCGGCTCTGGCTGGTCTCTGACTCACCAGGCTCATAAGTTTTCATACAGCAGCATGCCGTTGAAGACGGTGAGCGGCTCCACGGAGTGGGGCAGCCTCCCCCTCACCAGGTCCACACACACCGTGTCGCCGCGCTGCAGCGGCAGCACCAGGCTGAACACGGCCAGCGAGCCGCTGCTGACCTTTGACTCGGCCACCGGCTTTGCCTCCAGGTCTTCGGGCTGGTACCCGCCCGAGTCCACCCGGGCCACGCTGTAGTTGGACTTGGCCAGAACCGCTTCGATCTTCTCATTCTTGTGACCTGTCAGGACGGCGCTGAAGTAGTAGTGTCCGTCCACCGGGGCGGTGAAAACACCTGAGGAGGACGGGTTTACCTGTCAGAGCTCACAGCGTCCGGCTGGACCAGAACCACCAGAACCCACTCACCTGTCGCCGGGTTGTAGAAGTTGCCCTCGTTGACGAAGACCTTGTTAAAGACGACGGTTCCCGGCGTTTCCTTCAGGGCGGTGAGGCCTGCAGAGAACGACATCCTGGGTCTGTGAGTGTCCACACCTGGAAGACCTGAGGACAAGAAGACCCAGGTGAGGCAGAGTGGAACGGCTGCGGCCAATCAGAGGCAGAGTGGACCGGCTGCGGCCAATCAGAGGCAGAGTGGACCGGCTGCGGCCAATCAGAGGCAGAGTGGACCGGCTGCGG